GCCCAAAAAGACTTCTACTCTATTAATACATTGATTACATATTATTGTGGATTATTTAAGGGTATTTTGAAGCACAGATGATCCCTATTTATAAAGGTGAGATACTTGCATAAAGTCTCTACCCATATTAATGACTAGTCATTATCCATACATAAAGATATTATGTTACTTGTAAAATTTTAACACTCAACAATTAGACTTTTGAATAATTATAGCACACAGTGATTAGATTGACTCTGAATAATTTTTTTTTTTGGAGTGCAATTGGTATTCCGTTTTTTTTTAATGGTCACTTTTTTTTTTTTTTTTATTGATGATTAGCTTGAACTTTGGATTTTTTAGAACTATAAGTTTTTATGCAATTCTAAGCAAATTGGTGACGAGGTATGAATAATAGCTTAAAGGTTTTACTTATGGATTGGATATTTGTGCACAATACACAAAAATTGAGAGAGTGAATGAGCTTATCGGATTGGTATGAGAGAGAGAGAGAGAGAGAGAGAGAGAGAGAGCTAGCACACTTATTGATTGTAGCTGTTTTCAGCAAAGACTGCTGCATAGATTCACAAGGATTTTGTTTTGTCAAGTACGGGATTTCATATATCTTCAACGCTTTCATCTTCCGTTATCATTTTCTGACATTACTCAATCCAAATTGGTTTCACTTTGCAATGGCTATTATGACTAAGTAACCGTTTCAAGATGATAGGACATGTAAGTTTGCTAATGAACGTTGAACTCCGGAGTAATATGAATAAATCAATAAAACTAGTGAAATGAGATTTGGGTTTGCAGTTTGAAGGATTCTAATTTTAATTTGTCCTTACAAGTTTAATTTTTTTTTTTCTCCTATTATCGTCCCCAAACCCCTCCAAACTTTACATTTGCCCCTATCACTAAACCACAACAATTAATTGTAAAGTAATCAACTATTTTTCCTCATAAGCCCATTTCAGCAAAGCATTCCAAGAGTAATGTCACAATCCAAGAAACAACCCCAACAGTGCCTACACGCCACGGCTCTTTCCAAATGCGCCCATCACGAGCATGCCAAGACCCCACGTTGCAACTCAGTTCCTTGAGGGCTGCTCACACCAACATCGGTCCGATCTTCCACTGGGGCCGCTGGCCAGAGAGGAAGGGTCGGACAGTGCCCACGATTGTTTCAACGTAATTCTTATAATATTACATCTTCGTTAACAACATATAATTTCAAAAGAGTTTGGCGTTTAATGTGTGATGCAGTCAACAAACATGGGAATAGTGATGGACAAACTTTTACGAGGGTGGTGAAGTTTCGGGAACTCAAGACCCCAAAGTCAAGGTGTTCTATAAAATGAAATAATCCTATCTTATGTAATAGATAGTCTTATCTATCTGTAGTTTCTAGTAGTATTTGTTCTTGCAATTGGAATGGGGGAGGAGAGTTTTGACTGCTGAAAATTACGATTGTGAGAATACTTTGAGCCACTATTCGAGATTTTAGTGATTCCTCTTTTGAAGATGAGCTCCTTCCTTATGTGAGTAATTCCTCAACTATCATCCCTTTGGGTGAGTGATTCGCTGACAATCCTTTCTCCGATGAGTGATTCTCCAACTATCTTTATGTGTTCTTTTATTTTCATATAATGTTTGCACCACGAAATCTCAATCTAAGCTTCTTAGTTATTTTTCTTTCACATATTTACCTGCAATAAATTTTGAGGCTAAATATCTAATTTCTTGTAAAGAAAATTCTCCTAGGGTGTAACTCTAACTCAATTACTTGACAGTGGGGAAGAATAAAAAAACTGCATTTTCAAGTCTAGAAATAAGTAGGGGTGGCAGTGAACCGGGGGAAAACGGGTATTTATCCAAAGTTCAAACTCATTCTGTTTAGACCGAGGATGGAAGATACGTATTGGACAGTGGATGTATATGAGAATACTTGTATAAACCCATATGGGAATGGAGGTGGGGACAGACTAAAAATCATTCCCTCCCCACCTCCGCCCCGCCCCACTGAACCCGCAATATATATAACAAATAAAATAATTAAGTGAAACACACATTTCTTATACATATTATTGTTGTGAGTTTTTATATTTGATCCATTTGTTATATAATGAGTTTACACTAATTTCTATCATACTATTGCTAAGAGTAAAGCTGTTAGAGATAGGGTGAGTAGGATTAAGAATGAGGAGGGTGATTGATTGGCTACAGAGGAGGAAATTTCTTCTCATGCTGTTTCCTTTTTCTCTAAATTGTATAATTCAGAGCCTCATGATTTGATAGATTCCATTTTTGAACCTATTCCTCATTTGATTGGTGAGGAGGAGAATGAGAAGCTAACTTGTGCTGCTTCTATGGAAGAAATTAAGAGTGTAGTTTTCTCAATGTCAGTGGAAAGTGCCCCATGGGCAGATGGTTTTTTCTGGTAAATTTTTTCAAGTAGCATGGGATATCATTCAGCAAGATATGATTGAGGCTGTTAATTTCTTTTTGAAAGGTGGGGATGTGTCAAGATCTGTTAATGCTACTTTGTTAGCATTGATACCAAAAAAGACTAATCCATCTTCTTTTACAGAATTTCGCCCTATCAATTTATGTAACTTTTTATATAAAGTTTTTACGAAATTGTTGTCTAAGAGATTGGCTTTATTGCTGCCTTCTATGGTTTCTGAGGCACAACATGGTTTCATTCAGGGCAGGAGCATTGGTGAGTGCATTTCTTTAGCTCAATTTATGGTGGGTGAGATTGATAGGAAGGTGGAGGCTGGGAACATTGTCCTTAAATTGGACATGATGAAAGCATATGATAGAATGGAGTGGGACTTTATTCAAAAAGTTTTGAGTTGTTTTGGTTTCTCTGAACTTTTTGTGACTATTGTTGGTAATTGTTTCAAAAATCAGTTTTTCTCAGTGTGTTTAAATGGACAGAGATATGGATTTTTCCCAGCTTCTCGTGGTCTAAGACAGGGAGACCTTATTTCTCCTTCTCTTTTTATTCTGGCAGAAGAGGTTCTCAATAGGGGTTTGATGAATCTTTTTATGGAAGGGTTTGTGAAGCATTTCCATACTAGAAGAGGTTCAATATTGATTTCCCATCTGCTGTTTGCAGATGATACTTTATTGTTTCTAAGAGGAAATAAAAGTTTTTTGGTGAATTTGTTTCAGTTCTTGAGCTTGTATGAAGGCTGTTCTGGGCAGAGAATCAGTAGGCAGAAGAGCTCATTGATCTGTTCCTCTAGAATTCCTCAACACAGAGTTTCTATGTTGTCTAGATTAGGTCAAATACCTATTAAAAAGTGCCCAATTACATATTTGGCTTGTCCTTTGGTGAGTGGTAGGAGGAGGTTGAGAGACTTTGAAGATCTTGTTCTGAGGTTTAAACCTAGAATTGAAGGGTGGCAGGCTAGATTGCTTTCTAATATGGGCAAAAGTGGTGGTGGTGCAGTCCGTCTTGAATTCTGTCCCTGTTCACTTATTTGGTCTGGGAATGCAGGAATTAGGAAAAGGCATTGGGTTTCTTGGCAAGGGATCTCTAGACCTATACATGAAGGAGGTTTGGGGATTAGGAGGTTTGAAGATGTCCAAATTGCTTTCAGAATGAAACAGATTTGGAGAATTTTAGAGGGAAAGTCTCTTTGGGCTAGAGTCTTTGCTGCAAGGTTTTTGAAGGGAGGTCATGTGTTAAGATGTTCTAGTTATGGTAAGTTGAAGTTTTAAAATGTTGCAGCCATGGATTGGTATGGTGGTTATGAACTCCATTTCAGTAGTGGGGGATGGTAAGTTAGTTGATTTTTGGTGTTCTAATTGGTTGGGCTCTGACCATTTGTTGCTCAGAATTTTTCGACCTCCTGCTTATTTTCCTAAGCTTTCTGTGGTTTGAATTGATAATACATGGCAGTGGCAGGTGGTTGGGGATCTCATTAGTGATCAGCTGAAAGAGGAAATTTTGTCTTCCAATGTTTGTTTGACTAACAAGTCTGATTGTTTGATCTGAAAGTCTACTACTACTGGGCTTTTTTCAGTCAAATCAGCTTGGCAGCTTGTTAGGAATGGTGGGGTGGCTAATCAAGTTGCCTCTGTTATTTGGAAGATGTCTGTCCCACCTAGTGCTAAGTTGTTGGAGTGGAGACTTCTGAATAAAGCTGTTCCTTTGGATTCTAGAGTTCAGTCTATTGGGGTCAATTTAGCTAGTAAGTGTGTTTTGTGCTCTGCTGAGATGGAGACTGAGTCACATTTGTTTATCCATTGTGATTTTGTAGTGATGGTGTGGTCTAAATTAGCTGTTTTGTGTGGCTTTACTTTGTTTAATGGTGAGTCTCCAATAGTTAGGTTGATGAGAATGTAGAGAGTTTTTAAGAAAGGATCTTTGTTTCTTACTCTGATGAGAGGTTTTCCATTGGTAGTGTTCTGGCTCATTTGGAGGGAGATGCAGAAGAGTGTATGATGAAGGTTGTTTGTCTTCTCATTCTATTTTTCTAAGGGTTTGTGAGGTAGTGAGAATGCAAGCTAAGGTGTTTAGGCCCAGTGAAGGGGAAAGTGAAAGGAGTAAGGAGATGCAGCAGGCATTGGGGTTGAATATGTCCAGAGGGTCCAGTTTATTGCTCTGTGGGTGAGATGGGTTCCTCCATTATTTGGCATACAAAAGCTCAATGTGGATGGGGCTTCCAAAGAAAATCCTGGTAATGCTGGGGGTGGTATGGTGGTTAGAGATCACTGGGGTAAAGTGATTCTTGCTGCTGCATTTTCTTATGGTAATTGTTCCAACATGGTGGTAGAATTAAGGGCTTTCAGTGATGGTCTGGTTCTATTGGAAAGATATAATCTTTTGGGTTATAAGATCTAGATTGAGACTGACTCTGAGGTCATGGTACAGATGGTACTAAAAGGGCATCATAGAGCTTGGAACTTTTGGGGGCTTTTTGAGGTAGATTTTGGAGAGATTAGAGTGTTTGAATTTCAGTTTGGAAAATGTCTATAGGGGGGCAAATTGTCTGGCAGATTACTTTGCTAATCTGGCAGTACAAAATGGATTTTCATCTAAATATTTACAAGAGGTCTCTGTACTTGTGCATGCAAAGTTGCTGTCATTACAGGATCAGCAGGGACTGAAAAGACTGAGATAGAAAAGGAGATTTTTGTAAAGTCTTCTGTCTCTGTAGCATAGTTGGGGTAGTCTGTGGCAGGCTGGAGTTGAAATGGAGAGGAAAGGAGAATATAGTAGCTGTTGCAGGTTGGAGTACTGTTGTGAAGTGGCTTTGTGCAGTAGATTGATGATGTGTTGGAGTGTTTGGAGCTGATGAAAGGATGGAGTGCAACTGGTTTCTTGTAGATATGCAGTGAGGAATGGGTGTTGCCTGTTTTGTTAGAAGAGTTGCTCTTTCTAGCTGATTCAGCAGTTGCAGTAGGGGTACAGGAGGAAGCTAAACGGTTTTGTCTGGTTTTTTCCTGTCATAAATTCTTTAATAGAATTTCTGTTATGAAACAGAAAATCTGTTTCTGTTTACGTCATTCTTACAAATCTATTTGTAAATTTTATGATTTTTTTAAAAAAATTTTCTTAAAATCATATAAATTAATTATTATGGACAAGGACAGGGATGGGGATCAAAATTTATTCGTGGGACGGGGACGAAAATTAAAATTTTCCACGCTAATAGGGTAGACTGGGGGTGGGGGAATATTTTTGAAGCGGGCATGGAGGTGAAGACTATTCTCCCCGCCCCTGTCCTGGTCCACTGCCATCCCTAGAAATAAGCAAGGGGAATGCACAAGCTCGGAAAAAAGTAAACCTTTATTCAAGAATACTACATTACAATAGCATAATCAGAAACACAACAGTGATCCACGGCAGTTCCACAAAATCACATTTCAATGCAAAGTTCATCACACTTCACATTATCTTCAAATAATACTATCACACCATACTACATAATTTAACACACACAACCACTAAAGATCTTCAGTCTACACATCAATAATGACTCCAACTATTTATCAGAACACCGATTTTCTCTCCTCCATAGAGACTTAATTGCATCCACCACGTCCAGTTGTATTGTATTCAGCCCCAAGAATCCTTCCTCCTGCAAAATTCGGATGATTAAGTCGATACTTAGAATTTTTTTAGTTTCCTGAGCTTATAGAAACTATAATTACTTAAGTTTCCATCCATAATAACTTAAACTTTTAAAGCAGTTGATAGTTCTATATGTATGGTCTCAAAGGAGGAGATGATATGTTCGAATCCTGTTGCCACATTAATAATCCTGATACTTACAGGTTATTGTATAGCACAAATAACTCGATTTTCATATGATAAACCCATTTAACTAGTATTGTAAAACGAAAATGTTCGAATTATTTCTCTCTGCTCACCAAGTTGAACCTCCGGAATTGCACCATGAAGTGCAGCAGTGGCCACTTCAGAGGACTTGTGCAGCTTTAAGGAATGTTGTTTCTGCCATTTTGGCTTCTTTGGAATGGTAGTTTTCGTCAAAGAAATATAACTTTGGTTTATAATTTGAAGCTAAAATGGGTATGAAGGGTTTTTGTGGTTTAGACCAGGTATTTATAGCCGAGGATGAGAACATTACTGTAAACACACTAAGGTGATCACTGAGCTTTCGATGGGACTTGGTATGACTTTATGAATATGATCAGTTTTCGTTAGGGTTTGTTTACCTCCTAGATTTGTGTTGCTGCATATAGGCCATTGATTCAGTAAAGGATAGATAAGTTGTGGGTGTAAAATACCAATATTTGGAATGGGTGATTAGCTTGAATCACCTTACCAAATGCATTTCCTTGAATTGGGATGATAATTTTCACTCAAACATGTAAACTTGATGTGAAGTTGGCGAAAACTAGCGAAATAAAGTTGATTAGGAATCAATGCAAACCCAAAAATAATAGAAAATGACGAGGAGCGATATGTACGCAGTTTTACCTTCTTTTTTTTTCATGGAAAGAAGAGCACTTGACTTCTGGGTCACATCAAAACAAATTTTCTATTGCTCCAACTAGGACTGTTAAAATTCGACATGACACGATTAATCGACACGAATTAAACGAGTTTGAATGAGATCTTAACGGGTTTGGGTGATAAACGGATTGACACGCCAAACACGTTTAATAAACAAGTCGTGTTCGGGTGAGACTTGTCAAACCGTTTATCACACGTTTATCCATTTAAATAAAATTAATATAATAATAAATTAATACTTATTTAAAAAAATTAGCAAGAAAAAAAGAAGTAAAGAAATCAATAAAAAAAAGAAATAAAGTAATAGACAAAAGAGAAGAGATGAGGAGCACTTTAAAGACAAAAGTAAACCAATCTCTTTTGTTTTTGTCTCACATTGGAAAATGATGGGAGATAGGGAGGGTTAAGATACCTATAAAAAGCAATGACCTCTTGCTTTTCTTTTTAAGCTTTCAAGTCTTATTTTTATGAGATATGAGATTTGGCTAAAAATTTATCTTTTTTAAGGTAAGTGCAATTGACAATAAAAAAATTAGAGTATTAAAATTTGTTAATATAATTTTTTAAAAATTGAACGGGTTAAATGAATTGTGTTGTGTTACCTGTTTATTAAACGAGTCGTGTTTATGTTGAGATTTTTTATCTGTTTATTAAATGTGTCGTGTACAAATTTATACATTTTTCACCTGTCACCCGTTTAACCCGACACGTTTGACACCCTTAGCTCCAACACCCACCCACCAATCGAAAATAACGCTATACACAAAATCGAATAATAGAAAATAACGAAAGTGTTAAACATGTATAATTCGGTAACCACATAAATCGGTTGAATCCATGTCAAAATAAAAAATAAAAAATAAAGTAAAATAACCTCACTTCAAAGTTGTTTGCGAAAGGCTGATGATATGCGAGGTATTATTTCATTTTATGAATGCAATCCAATCTCGTAAATGTCACGGCATCCAACTATCTTAGCAAGTCAAGAACCCTGGACAGATATTTGAGAAAGTCAATAACGCTGGACAGAGGGGAAGAAAAAATAATTATCGCCCTTATCTTTGTTTTCAATGCTAAAAATAAATCTGTTGAAATTGGAGAAGAATATCAAGTACACCTACAACACTATTGTCGTTGAATTGACAATGGATTTAATCCACTATTAATGAGCTACTATTAAAGCAACAACAACGGTATATTATTTAATGAAATTAACAAAAATTTAAGCTTTTACAAATTCGAAAGAAAATGCACACTTAAAGCAAACACCAACCAACCACTAGTCTAGCACCAAACTAACTCCATCCGCCGCACCCCACGTAGCAGCCCCCTCCACTCCCCCCACCCTTGCCCCAACCCTGTTCCACCACCCTCCTCCCCCCATCTCTAATCAATCAAAACCCTCAAAGGCTAGCGCAAAATGTCTTTACTTAGTGCAAGTTTAGGAGAACACCGTTGGGAAAAATTGACAAACCAAGAGAAAGGTAGACTAGGAAAAAATTATAAATTATTACATCAAGCAGCTGAGCTTTAGTTAATCCCACAAGTATTCAACACCACAAACCAATTTTTCTCAATAATATTACTTGATTCTTAAATCAGAAGAATTCGTTACACTAACATATATTTTTACAACAAAGACTTGAATAAAGGAAGTGAGGGTTTGATTGTTGTCTGGTAATTGTTTTTGGAAGGCAACCATGCTATCTTCATGCATGTCACTTATGCACAGAAGTAATGTTAATTTTTTTTATATCGTTCCAATTTCATTAGATGTTATCTAAAGGAATGCGATCTTCATATAGCTCAAAAACTTAGATAAATTAAGAAAGAATGTAAAGGTTTCGAACAAGAAAAAACAAAGCACAAGCTAGCAATACCAAGACATGGGTGATTATCCTTCAATCAAGGAGAAAAACCACACAATGAATTGAGAGGGCATCCAAGGGGAATGAGGTTTATGTCTTTTTCGAACTCGGCTGAATAGCTTGGGCCTTGGACTATCTTTTTCTATTTTTATCAAAAAATAATAGGGAAAGTTGTGAAAAAGCAAGGAAGTATCTTAATATAAATTTTTTGTGTATAAGTCATTTTTTTGTGTAAATGTTTTGTGAACAGATACAATTTGACTAGTTTTTAAATATTTCATTTGCGTAAAATCCCTTTTCTTTTATTCATGGAAAATAATTTAACCAGTTAATTGTGGGATTCTGTTTTCTATTTTATTGAGACAATTTCCTTATTTTTTTTTATTCTATTTTACTGGTTAAGTGGTTTAACTATTTCAATTTTAAAAGGATTCTATTAGTTTTAAAAAGATTTCCTATTATCACTCTATATCTGACTCTCACTGTTAATCTCTCTCTCGTCCTATTTTTTTCTCTCTCAAACTCATTTTCTCTCTCTCATTGTTACTCTTCTCTCCCCTTTATTTTCTCTCTTTGTTTATACATTGTTACATTTAAGTCCTATTGTGTGATACCCACCATGTGCAAAATACTGTATATGATGTTTGTTTGCAGTGTGACATTGAAGTCACACTTTTGATGCCCACACTATGAAAAAAAATGCATATGATGTGTAGTTGCATTGTGACATTGAATTCACACTGTGATACTCACCATATATTTTTGAATCTTTATGTGATGCATGTATGAATTGTTACATTAGGGTTATGTACAAACTCTATATATGGTGTCTATATGCAGTGTGACATTGATACTACATTTGTATGGCCATAGTGTGTCAATCCCTGAGTCACACTATGATATTTTACATATGTCAAAACTTACATATGCTATGTGTATACAGTGGACATTGATGTCATATTATATTACCCACAGTGACTCAACCCAGTATTTATATTTTACAAATAGTGTGACATTGGCATCACATTAACCTAACCCCTTGTTTTNATACCCATAGTAACTCAACCCAACATTTATATTTTACAAATAGTGTGACATTGGCATCACATTAACCTAACCCCTTGTTTTCAATAAATCCCAATAATGTGTGTTCTTCACAGTGAAACTCTCAATAATAATAGATTTTTTTTTATATCCAAAAATGGTGTTTGGGCTAGATTTTTGTGGATCGTTTGAATCTCAAATTTTTATCCTTAAATCGTAAAAATTATGGCGCCAATGGTGGAGATATGCGAGTAGTTACAATTTCTTTTCATTCTTTCTGCTGGTTTCTTTAGATAGGTAGGAAACTTTTCAAATTGAAAAACGGTTATTTTGGACTTCAAATATAGTGGACGGACTTTTTTACAAATGTTTTTAAAAGATATACTTTTTTTTCTTATAATTCTAATATTGTGTACCGGCCCTTATTTTCCCAAAAAATAGTTGTTAACTGATACCGATCAAATTTAAGCTCAAACACCCATTCTTCGGTAGTCCAACTTTTATCAGAAATCATGACCCAAAAAAAAAAAGCCTTTATCAGAAAGCAACTGCACGTGTGAAAGAGCTTGGGGGAAACAAAGCCCAAATCCAAGCCCAACGTTTCCTATGTCTTGCTTAGGCCAGAAACTGAGAGTGTTATGAAACATTTCTTGGGCCGAACCGGCCCAAATCAATTGGCAAAATTACAAATCCAAAATAATGCTTATCAGCCTTAATTAATCATTGTTCTATTTCAGTGCACAATCATCGCTTTCTCACATTGCTACTGCAACTACTTAATTTTATTTTATTTTACTTAAAATTCTCTATTGTCAATGTTCATTATGTTTTTGGATGAATCGTTCGCTGAGGTCGTTGATCCTAAAACTATGTAAAACCAAGTTATATAATTAAAAGACAACGTGGTTGAAATGTTTCTTGTCTTATGTTCAAAATCAATATTAAATTTTGAGCATAGTATAATAGAAATATCTTTCCAATTCTCATCATCAAACCCTTCCTCTTTTTTTTTTTTTTTGAACTAGATCATCAAACCCTCAAAACCTTACATTTGCCTCTATTAAAAAATCACAGCAAATAAATCCATTTTTTTTTTTTTGAAAATTACAATAATGGTAATAGCTAAAACAAACTCAACCCAACAGTGTCACAGTCCCAAATCACAAATCCAACAATGTCTACACGCCACCACTCATTCCAAATCCGCCCATTGCGAACAAGCCGAGACCCCAAATTACACCTCAATCCCTTGAGTGTTACTCATACCCAACTTCCGATCTTCCATTGGGGCTGCAGGCCCCGGAGGAATGGTCGGACATGCTGTCAAAGATTTGGAAAAACCCTCTGGTTTTATTGGTTTGCCCTCTAAGGTTAGCAATGAGTTATGTCATGTTAAACTTTGTTTAACTCAATATCGAACTCATTCATAATTATGTATAATCAGTTAACAAGATTCATACTGGATATATATAAATTGTATCTAATGAGTTCACATAGAGTTTGAATGAGTTTGTGTTGACCTATTTATGTAATTGATGTATCGAGTTCACATGTTACCACCCAAATCCTATAAAATCAGATCTTAACATGTTAATTCGTTATTAATTCTGTCTTCGATTCACGAATCGTGTTTAGAATTGATAGACCTATATATATAGCAACATTAATGAGCACCATCTACATGAGATATTTCACAAGCTTCTCTCTCATTGGTTTAGTTGTACACATTTAACATATGGTACTATATTGTGATGGGTTAGGGTATGGTCTGTCCATTATCATTTTTGGAAGAATGGTCAGTCAAGAAAAGGCAGTTATGTTATGACATCTTAAAAGAAAAAAACAGTAACAAGCTGAGACGTGGAAGCAACTAATGATCAGTGATCCTTTTCGCCACAATGCTTGGGAAAATGACAGAGAACATCCCACATGAGTTTGTCTGGTGTCTTCACTTCGAATCGTACAAAAGATTACAACTCATAACTGACCATATACTTTGATCTTCTTAGGGGGAAGAGAGTTCGTATTACACTCAAGATATATTTATATATTTAAATGGATTGCCCATTCGTGACCAGTTAGTTTTAAGTTAAATGCTACAACATGGTGTCAAAATTTTGGTCTTGATGGGGCTGTGGACCAAGTATTTCTCCTATTTCTGTTTTTCGGTGTACTTGTTTTTCGATTTGATAGCTCGGGTCAACCGTAAATGAGAGTGTCAAGAGAGTTTATATTACACATGGAATGGTTTGGGCCACTCAAGATTTTGTTTCCGAAGTTAAGTGTGTGTAAGAATTCCTTGATTATCTTAGAGCATCATTTTCTACTGATTTTCGCAATACTCAACTCCAAAATTATCAATGGGAGTGCATTCGGATCATCCAAAATTACTTTGAAAAAAAAATTAGCTTGTGTAATGAATTATATAATTATGGTTCTAACTATGTTTGTTAATCATGTCGGGTGAGGTGAATTTGTATTGGGTCTTGATGGGTTCATGTCAAAAAATAATATTCCACTTACACCTGATTGGTTTATTAATTTGTGTCTAACGAATCGTGTCATATCAAAATCGTATTGTGTATGAATTGTGTATAACTGATATATAAATAAGTCGTGTCTTATATATTATTTTAATTGATTTTACTCATACCTAATTCGTTAATTATTGTTGTGTCAAGTCCACCCGTTTAAAAAACAGATAATTTAAAAAAAAAATTCAAACATTCTAGTTTTCCATCGTTCGTTTGATATGTTCACACCTCTAATTCTAACTAACTATAATTTTTGTACAAATTCTTTCGATCATTAAGTATGTAAAATTGTGAATACAATCAAATTATGATCGCACAATTCTCATCTTGCTATTATATTGAATCCAACTTCACCTTTTAAAATTCGTCTAAATCCAACCCCACACGATCCGAAATCCAAGAGGTATAAAATAGTTGTCCTCTAAATTGATTTGCCCACTTTAATAAAGAAGCGGAGGTTGACTTTAACGTAAATGACTGTAATTAATTAACCATAGACAAAGCCTGAGAATGACGTGTAAGGTACACCATTTTAATTAATCTGATTATTTTGTAGTTTAAGAAATTAAAAAGAAAGGAAGACAAGACACGTAGCCCTTGAGCACGTGCAATGCAACATGCCAGAAACCTTAAACCGTGTACTAATCAAATCTTACTTGCACTACTTATTCTTTGTTGATCCCGATACTATATATACGGCTAGAGTACGCTGTATTTAGTCCTACCATGCCGACATATCTTAACTCAATTTACTAAATTGTCCATTTACTCTTTTCAAGCCGGTCATTGTACACCACTGCCAAATTCGACTAACCAAATTTAGATTTTTACCCAAATTCTGCTTGGTGGAATATTTAAACTAAAACTCAACTATATAACTAAGAATTTTAAGCTGATTAATTTTTTATTGATCGTTCATGAACTGTGTAATCATTCATAAAACTTTCTAAATTTAAAATTTTTAAAAAACTATTATGCTCCGTTTGGTATGATATAAAGTTAGAAGGATGCAAAATTTGAGGGATAAATAAAATATCATATTTAGTAAGAATGAAAATAAGAATGATGAAAAAGTTAATGAATTAACTTTTCTTTCAACTCATCAGAATTAATTCCTCCAAAATCGGAAGAAAAGTGAATGAAAAATTAATTATTTATATTGAGATGTAACTTATTTGTCTATATATTATATATACATTAATTTCATATAAAAATATAATGATAAATATATATATATATATATATATATATATATATTTTTTGGTAAAAAAAATATAGTAAAAAAATTTAAAATTAAAAAATAAATTAAAAAAATATTTTTCATCTTAAGTAGGGGTGAAAATTTTCTACTCAACACGATGACACAACTTGAATTCGACACGACATTGATTATAATTCGACACGATCTTGAAAATGACCTGACACGCGAACAAGAAATTTAAAAGACTCACAATTTTATGACTCAACACGAATTTTACACAACACGAATCGATTGTCACCCGTAATCTTAGCCAGCACAAATAAATTTTAAAAAAATTAGTTATTTTTATTTTCTCTCCATCCAACCAAACACAAAGGAAGAAAATTGTATCATTCATATTTTCTATCCTTGAAAAATAGAAAATATATCATTCTTATTTTTTATTTTTTCTACCAAACAGAGCATTAGAAAAAGAGAAAATTAGAGAAAAACATATAATGTGGAGGTACTTGATGATAAGTTTGGTATTTTTTTTCATCTTTTGAATATGAATTGTTTGTTAGTGAAACTAAAATTATTTTTATACAAAAAACCTTATTCAGACCACGACAAGTCTATTTAAATCGAATCTGTGTATTGCTTGAATACAATCAACTCAAACAAGTGATTTTAAACAAATTAAAAACGAATCGGACCCAAATGGTGAAAGATGACATTCATCCTTATTGAAGGATCCAAGTGATATCAAAGTCGACATATCTTTTATGAAGATAACAGTATGTCAAAATTTGTACAAAATTATTTAAAATTATTAAATTAATAGGTCTCATCACTGATCCGACGATTGAAATTAATTTGGTTTAAGATTCGGTGTATAAATTTAGTGCATTAAAAATTAGCCAAAGAGAANTGTCAAAATTTGTACAAAATTATTTAAAATTATTAAATTAATAGGTCTCATCACTGATCCGACGATTGAAATTAATTTGGTTTAAGATTCGGTGTATAAATTTAGTGCATTAAAAATTAGCCAAAGAGAAATCAAAAGTACATTTTGGTCATTTCGTCTCAACCACAGGAATAGTAGGGACATCTGGGAGAGTTTGACTTTTAGCCATCCATCACGCTCATTCACACCCAATAAATAAAGGCCACATCATCCAGCCCCATACAGACACGTTTAATCCGGCTACGAAACAGTAGGGTTTAGTGATTTCACATCGCATTCACTCCCTTCCTTAGTCCTGACGGCTCGGAAACCGCCCACGATCCAGTTCAAAGCCTCCATCACCATGGACCCCCACACTGCACTCATTCTCATGCCCCACCCCTAAGACATCTACATCTATATAAGTTCCAGATACCCAACAATCCCCACCTCCCCCCCTCTCTCTCTCTCTCTCTCTCTGTTAATATGTTCACAAGTGGCAGTGAACAAATGGTGCAGTGCTCTCCCAGGTCATTGGGGATGGAAAGAAGGTGGAAGTCCAATGTTGAGGTAGCACCTAATTGTCCAAGGTGTGCCTCTTCCAACACCAAGTTTTGTTACTACAACAATTACAGCTTGTCACAGCCTAGGTACTTCTGCAAAGGCTGCAGANTAGCACCTAATTGTCCAAGGTGTGCCTCTTCCAACACCAAGTTTTGTTACTACAACAATTACAGCTTGTCACAGCCTAGGTACTTCTGCAAAGGCTGCAGAAGGTATTGGACTAAAGGTGGTTCATTGAGGAACGTGCCCGTCGGCGGTGGTTGCAGGAAAAACAGGCGAGCCAAGTCGTCTAAGTCACCGTTCCACGCTGAACAACCGGGCATGAGTAATGTTCACAACCTGTCTAGTCATGGCCAGTCTGGGGGTGACCCATTGGTGCTGTCACCAAGGAGGGCTAGTGAGCCATCACAGATTGATCTAGCCGCGGTATTTGCCAACTATTTGAACCAAGATTCGGGTTTCGGCAACAAGATTGGTGGTGATGAATCTTCCATTGGAGCCAATTCATCATCCAATTCAACACCTAATTCTCTGGACTTAGTCAGGGAGTTAGAAGATGTTATGATTGAATGCCAAGAGACTCAGTTTCTTTCAGGGCTTCCTCAGGTGTTTGTAGGTGAAGAAAATGTTGATGGAGCCATGGTCCATGACCCGAATGCTTTCGAGTTGCAGTCTCTGCTTGGTGATGGACTAGAGCAAGAGAATTCATGGCCGGATGGTCCGAGTATGGAGAATTTTGGATGGCAACAAGAATTTGGAACATTATCGACCGATGATCAGTTAAGAATTTCAGCTAATCTGATTAGTAATAATTGGAGCTCATTCGATCTATCAGATTATGAAATTTTTTCAAGACCTTGAAACCTATCAAGTTGGATTTCTTTTTTGGTTCTAATTTTTCTTCTGTAGGCTGTAGCTTCTGGGAAGTTAACTGTTACATTTCCCTGAAAGAGATTAATGATATATTTGATCAATACAAATTACAATAAAATACATATTAGTGAGCAGTAACTATCTTCTGGTGGATTTGTTTGATGATAAAGTAAGGAGTGGTTGGTTTAATTATTCCTTGTATGGAGAATGAAGTCATGATCAGACAATTCTGGCACATTGGACTCAGGGACTACCAATTCCGCATGGAGAGTCAACCTTGACAAAAGTGTATTGGAGAACATTTCGATCTCAATTAAGGAATTGAACCTTTAGATACAAAAACAATAGCCACAAGCACAAGAAATTAAAGTCCAACTCTCAATGACATCTATTGTTTTCACATTGAACATGACAAATTGAATAGGATCTATTTTTCAAACCTAATACATTATGACCTTTGGATTAATAGTGAACTTCATTTAATGTGAAAATCCCTTGCTAATTCAATCATCATTATGTTTTAGATTCCTACATTAGATATTCGGATTAGGTCCCAGTAGCATTGCGATCTCCTAGGATTAGTATTTTACCTGGTATTAGATTTAGTCAATGTTATATCATTCACCTTGAATTAGTTAAGAACCCATTTGATATAATAGGTTTCGGATACTGTAATAAATGATTTAACATGAAGCAAATTTGGTATTAAAGTGGATCTGAATCCTGTATCGAATGCCCATTAATGTGCATTTGGACATCTAAAACTAACCCGTTTGTTTCTTTTCTCCAAATTTGCAGGTTCAAAGCAGCAACCAACAACTCCATAAATTTAGCTGGAATCCACCCATTTTGTGCCTGGGTGTGGGTATGGGTATGGGTGTGTATGTGTAGGTGTATGAGTATGCCTCAGTGCTATGTGGGGTTGGGGCAGGGAAGGGTTTTCACTGGTGGGTGGGTTGAAGTGGCATTTTCATTAATTTTCTAGTTTTATGAAAATTGCATATGCTTGAAAAAGAAAAGGATGTATCTTACATGTCGAATTAACGCATGGATTGATCTAGTGTTCGAACAAAAAAATAGTGTATGTACGTGGGTTCAATTTCCACTAACTATATAAAATTTAAAATTTAGGTTTAATCGATACATATGATTTGTAAGTGATTATGTGCATCTAAGATTTACGTTATAATTCTGAGTTTAAATGACACGTGATTAAAGTGATTCTTTTTTTCAAAATTGAAAACAATGTCATAAGTTAGAAATAATGCCAATTGATGGCAAAACTTTGAAACCAAACTATCAAGTTTATGTCCTCTTTCTCCGGACATTTCAACGAGGATAGGGAAGTTTGATAAGAGCTATAAGAAATAGGGATTCCAACAATAAGAAAGAGTTACTTAGTGCATTGGTGGATCATACACTTGAAGATAGAGATAGGAGCATGCTTGAGTCTTTAGAAAGTGTGTATTGAAAGAGTGAAGTCTGGAGATAAATGTAAATGGAAAAAATGGGACCTCTAAACCACCCTATTAGTAAGCAGCTTTTATTTTGCTAATGGTAGGGCTTTAAATGATAAGCGGTTGATATGTTTCTATGACCCCGAATAAAAAGTAGAAAGATACATAGAGCAAGAACTCTCGAAATTTACTTGTGCGCACTTATTCATTTAGGTCCGACTAAAAACACGTGGATCTTGAGAACTTATATCGAGAACAATTTCGTACTAGTAGGGACAAATCAGGGGAAGAGAGTCCAATTTCTAAAATATAATTTTAAAAGGCTTAGATTATGGTTTTTCCTTCAACTTTCATTTTCCCATTGTCAAAATAAACGTGGTTCACTTTCTGAGGAAAAAAAAAAAAACTTGGGACACACCAAAAAAGGGGGGGAAAATATATGAAGAGTAATTTCGTCATTTGGTTACATGTCACTATCTGATTGGCCCAGAATGACGCCCGAAACCAGCTGTAGTTAGTATGCTTGGGCGACATTAGTATTCAAGTAAGGGTAGTTTTGTAACGTGGTTAACAATGGAAGTGGCCCATCATAAAGCCCAAAACCACCTGTAATGAGATTGGTCGATAATCAGTGCTCAAGTTGGACAGGAGAATAAGCCCAGATCTTTTCTTTTGGGCTGAAATATGGGCCCACAAATAACAGGCTCGCTATTTTCCTGGTTTGAACATTTTTGGGACTCTTTTTAGCTTGTGACTCGTGAGAACCCAAGTAAACATCAACAAAATGACAGGTTTTTACTATAGTTGCCTTTATCTGATCAAGAAACTGTAAATTAAACAGCTTATTCTCAGGCAAAATTTGCATAATCATGGGAGGAGTTGGTTCATTCTTTAGTCGGTGCTAAATATAAGAACTCATTTTACACTGTGCAATTATGTCCTGGATTTAAATTTGAGCTGAAATTAGATGTACCACGATTGATAAAATTGTAATACGTGCTCTTCTTCCCTCCAAAGCTTCACCACCAATTCTTAGACAATTTTTGTCTAGAGAATGTGCACTTCCCCTTTGGTGACAGAGGCTAGTGCAGTAAGAAGATATGACATTGGCGGAAAGTTATCAACAGATAATACTAGAATCATATTGAAAGATTTCAATCGATGAGCTGAATAAGGGTTCATCACCTTCACTCAGAAAGATTGGATTAATCTAAAAAGAAATTCGAGTATATATACAACAGACTCACAAATTAGGTTTCTAAGCCACAAAAAGGACATTTAAACAGTTGTCAAACTTAATAGCAAAGCAAAAGAGAAGGGGAATGATCTCCTCCCACTGGGCACAACATACAATCGACAAAGAGGCAATGGAAGGAGTGTATTTTCTGTTCCTTTACAACTTTATATACTTTTAACACCTTTTATTTTCAAAACTATCAGAATGCAAACTAAAACAAACATGCACTGCGAACTAGTACTTCATTTCATAAAAAATTCTTTAAATTTTTTATTATATTTTTGCTTTTTTAATAACCGACTGGAAAGCAACGAAATGTAAAGCTAATGTATTGGGTAAACTTTTTTCGAGTAATTTTTCTAAGCAAAAAAACAAGAAATTTTGTTAAAAAATAAAATCATGTTTTATTAATAGTATTTGCAGAAGTGGACTAATTCACTCAAATATGGTAATCGTATTGACGATGGTAAGATTTCGGCTTGGGCCGCCCATCCAAAACCCAAAATATCTAATGGGCCCCCATGGTTACATGGCAGTCCAAACGGCGCATCTATAACTTGTCCACCCTGCACTAAGAATAAGCTATAACTTAAAGAAGAAAGTCTAACAATATTCAGATTAATATGATTTTGCTTGACTACATCAAGCTCAACGAAAATCGATTCAGGAACTAGAACCTCGGTATTTGTTAGATTCCGAGCATTTTCAGTCGTGCCACTTGTCCAGGGGACAGAGGAATAGCTTCTAAAGTCTCTAATGAACACGTAATCCCAAAAAATTGTATTTATAAGACACTGTATACAAAGACTATAAGTTAAAATATCTATTGTAATCTTATTATTCAAGCAATATAAATCCCAATGAGTAAAAGTCTCTATTGCGCAATGCATGTAACCTAGATGATTCGATTAAGATAAATCACTTATATCTTATTTTTGGTCCAATTTCATCTCTTACTTCCTTATTAACCTAAATATTCACCCCCCCCCCCCCCCCCCCC